CGTGCGCTTAGGGGGACTCGTCAGCCTAACACTGACTCTCTTGGAGGTTCTGGGCACGCAGGAGTCAGATAGAGAACTCCAGCGGCCTATCCTCGGCGTCAAAGCGTAGGACTCTAGGCGTCGCCATAGCGAAAGCAGGGGGTAGCTACGGTTGGAAATTGCCTAGAATGCCGGAGGAGGGCGCGGCAAGCAGGGCGCAACGGGACAGGCAGGTGGTATGGTATGGGACGGGCGCGACGCGGCAGGACGGGCAGGCGCGACGCGACGGGACGGGCAGGTGCTTCGGGCACGGGGGGACGGGACGGGACGGGCAGGCACGACGGGCGCTAGGGGATGGGACGGCACAGGCGCGACGCGACGGGCAGGCGCAACGCGACGGGACGGGACGGGCAGGCGCGACGGGCGCTAGGGGACGGGACGGGACGGGCGCGACGCGACGGGCAGGCGCGACGCGACGGGACGGGCAAGCGCGATGGGTGCTAGGGGACGGGATGGGATAGGCGCAACGCGACAGGCAGGCGCGACGCGACAGGACGGGATGGGCAGGCGTGACGGGCGCTAGGGGACGGGACGAAACGGGTGCGACGCGACGGGACGGGACGGGCAGGCGCAATGGGCAGGCGCGACAGGCGCTAGGGGACGGGACGGACGGGCGCGACAGGCGCTAGGGGACGGGACGGGCGCGACGGTAGGGCGCTACGGGCGTGGTAGGCCAGGCACGAGGGCCCGAGAGGGAGGAACGGGATCCCACAGGATCCTAACCTAGGTGATACCATGTCAGAAACTGTATGATGGATTGACTATTGTGGGTTGGGGTACATAAACCTAACCCTAACTGCTGTACCCTAACTAAAGGCTACAACATTTGACATGCAGCTCCACCCACTTTATTGATCCACCCCCCTCTTTTTTCAGGGGCAGGAAATGGGCCTAGGGTCTATTAGCTAGGTAAAATTGGTATACCCAACACTGGCAATTCGCACGATCCGCGCATTGAATTGTGGGCCTTAAGGGGCAACACCCGAATTGCTCAACAAAGTCAACGCCCCTAAAACAACTTCGGAAAGGCAGGCAGTTGGAGGTTCGGAAAACTTCCGAAACCCTTTTGCCCTGAACCCAGTAGGGGTGAGACACAAACTGGGCCGAGTTTGTGAAGGCCTCTCTGTTTCTTGGGGGCTGGGCTTTAAATCCCTAACAAATCTGCCATCACGGCTACACACATGCACAGACCTTGTTTACCCTGTTTAGGTCATTCTCCAAAGAAATTGTCAATTTTCAAATCATTTGAATTGAAACTTCATGTCAAACATAGTAGTTCAGGGTTTTGGGAGGTGGAAGCTAGGAACGAGAGAGTTGGCCAAAGAAGAGAGGTTGCACTATAGAAACAGCAGTACATATAGGCAAGAGCTAGGGGTGCACCACCAACAAAGTTACTGTAGCTACACTAGAGTACACAGCAAGCAGGGGATATATATAAAACACAACTTAACACGCCCCCTTAACCTGCTTGCTGCAAGAACTAGTACAGGTACACGTGGCGCAGCGGAAGAGGGTAGAGAGGCAGGTGAGGAGGAGGAGGCGAGAGAGAGAGGGAGGGAGGAGAGGAAAGGAGAGGAGGTGGGGGGCGTGCATGAGCGCAACAACTCACTGCCCGGGGTACCCTCTTACGAGCCTCCAAGTCCTCACCTGCAAAGGAGGTGGGGGGCGTGCATGAGTGTGACAACTCACTGCCCGGGGTACCCTCTTAAGAACCTCCAAGTCCTCACCTACAATTCAACCACCCCCTTAACCTCACCCCCCTTTCCAGTCACCCCCTTGAACCTACAACAACAACTGCTGCAGGGAGAGAGGAAGAGGAAGGGGAGGGACGGGCTGCTGGCTTCTCACACCCGCCACCCCCACATCCCCCCCCCCCCCCCCCCACCCCCCACAGCGGAAGCCGCAGCAGGAAGGGGGAGGCGGCGTACGCCGCCGCTGGTGCTGGCGGGTGGCGCTGGTGCCAGCGATGGCGCTTGCGGCTGGCGTCGATGCTGGCGCTGGCGCTGGCAGAAGGCGCTGGTGCTGCTGTTGGTGCTGGCGCTGGCTACGGTCGCTGGTGCTGGCGCTGGCACTGGCGTCCGCGACGGTCGTTGGCGTTGGTGTAGGCGTTCGCAGCCAGCGACGGGGCGACGGGGCAGCGCGCGGGACGGGGAGAGCAGGCGCAGGAGGCGCGACGGGATGGAACGGGCGGGCGCCACTGGCGAGACCGGACGGGACGGGCAGGTGCAGCAGGCGCGACGGGACGGGACGGGCAGGCACAGGAGTGCCTTAGCGGGTGCTGCAGCAGCCATGTCTTAAAAAAAAATCAGGTCCTTAGGATGAACCTGCTCTGTACGAGAAACTATAGTAGTTCATGTCAAACATAGTAGTTCAGGTTTTTGGGAGGTGGAAGCTAGGAACGAGAGAGTTGGCCAAAGAAGAGAGGTTGCACTATAGAAACAACAGTACATATAGGCAAGAGCTAGGGGTGCACCACCAACAAAGTTATTGTAGCTACACTATAACACACAGCAAGCAGGGTATATAAAACACAACTTAACACGTCCATCTGCGAATGGATACTAAAGATTCAAATAAAATCATTGACATACCAGACACTCGAAATAAATAAGCACACACACGAGCACACACAAACACAAACACACACACAAAACCTACAGTAGCACACACATGGATCACACTTAATGGTACAACAAGCTAGCTAGTGATGTGATCTTATTCTTGTACACACACAAAATGACTCAGCCAGCCGCCAGCCAACGTTGATTCCTCATCTCCAAGCAACCGCATGCAGTTGCTCGCACTTCCGCCCATCAGTCCGCGGAATTTGACATCCCTCCCAGAGCTGCAGCAAGTGTTTCCTGCCCCATGTCTGTCCAACTACGGTTGTTTGCTTTTTCTTGTCCAACGGTCGCTTGTCCACCGGTCGCTTGTCCACCAGCCGTTTTGTAGCGACATAATCAGCGTATGCACTTGGTTTTCTTCTTGTCCATTTCAACCCCGTGTTCCACTGACACTGTGGCATTCCATGCACCATCTTGCACTGGGCATTATCAGGGCAGGCAGGCGATTATACGGCTGCCACATGAAACAGTGGGGGGATGAGGGAGACGGGAGGAATGGAGGATGAGAGAATTCTACAAGGGTGGAACACAGTGAAAGTAGTTTGGCACGACAAATGGGACACAAATTTCGTTCATAGGTGCAGCTGGTTGGTGGCGCGTGTGGGAGAGGGAGGCAAGCATAAGCATCACACGAGCTGCACAACATTCCAAGAGACCAGGTCGAAAAGCAGACAACTTGTCTTAATTCCCTTACGTGTGCACTTGTTCTTGCTATTGTCCATTTTGAACCCCTGCTTGCACTGGCACTGCGGCGTTCCTTGCACCATCTTGCACTGGGCATTAGCAGAGCAGCCACCCGGACATGTGGCTGCCACACGGAAAAGGAGGTGTGCGCAAGACGGGAGGAATGGAGGATGAGTAAATTTGACAGGGAGGGCATGCATGAAAATAGACAGTTGGAATAGGAGCAGGACAGAAAGACAAGCATACGTTGCTTTTCTCCCTTACGTGTGCACTTGTTCTTGCTATTTTCCATTTTGAACCCCTGCTTGCACTGGCACTGCGGCGTTCCTTGCACCATCTTGCACTGGGCATTAGCAGGGCAACCACCCGGACATGTGGCTGCCACAGGGGGTGTGTGCGAGACGGGAGGAGTAGTGAGTGAAGTTGACAAAGAGGGCATGCATGAAAGTAGACGGTTAGAATAGGAGCAAGGCAGAAAGGCGAGAATACATTGGTTGTCTCCCTTACGTGTGCACTTGTTCTTGCTATTGTCCATTTTGAACCCCTGCTTGCACTGGCACTGCGGCGTTCCTTGCACCATCTTGCACTGGGCATTAGCAGAGCAGCCACCCGGACATGTGGCTGCCACACGGAAAAGGAGGTGTGCACAAGACGGGAGGAATGGAGGATGAGTAAATTTGACAGGGAGGGCATCCATGAAAATAGACGGTTGGAATAGGAGCAGGACAGAAAGACAAGCATACATTGCTTTTCTCCCTTACGTGTGCACTTGTTCTTGCTATTGTCCATTTTGAACCCCTGCTTGCACTGGCACTGCGGCGTTCCTTGCACCATCTTGCACTGGGCATTAGCAGGGCAGCCACCCGGACATGTGGCTGCCACATGGGGTGTGTGCGAGACGGGAGGAGTAGAGGATGAGTGAAGTTGACAGAGAGGGCATGCATGAAAGTAGACGGTTAGAATAGGAGCAAGGCAGAAAGGCGAGAATACATCGGTTGTCTCCCTTACGTGTGCACTTGTTCTTGCTATTGTCCATTTTGAACCCCTGCTTGCACTGGCACTGCGGCGTTCCTTGCACCATCTTGCACTGAGCATTAGCAGAGCAGCCACCCGGACATGTGGCTGCTACATGAAATGGTGGGGGTGAGGTGTGGGGGGCGGGGGCGCAGATGACAGGAAGAATGAAGCATGAGAGTAGACGGCTGGAATAGAACACGTCGATTGTTCATGGGTGCAGGTGGGTGGTGGTGGGTGTAGTAGATGAGAAAAAGGATAAGGATCACAAGAGCTGCAGCAGCTTCCAAGCAGGCAGGTTAGAAAAGAAAGCATATGGTTTCTCTCTTCCCTTACGTTTGCACTGCCTTGTGTCCTTGTCCAGTTTGTAACCCGCCTTGCATTGGCATTGTGCGGTTCCTCCCACCACCGTGCACCGGGCCCTTTCAGGGCACGCCGGCTTGCACATGGCTGGCGTGGGTGGGAGGTGAGGGGTGGGGGAGAGGGGAAAGGGATTGAGGCTGAGTGCTTGGAAGAAGGAATAGCAAGTGGAAGACACAACACCCACGAGGACTCAAGCTCAAGCTTAACTCACGTTGAAGCACGTGATCCTTGTCACTGTATCTAACGGCTGGACTGTTTCTCAAATTATTGACCTTTTCACCTCTTCACCTTTTCCACTTCTTCACCTCAACAGCATATGAGACACAACCTTTGAAACACAGCCCTTGATACAAAGACCTTGAAACAAAGCCCTTGAAACAAAGGACCTTGAAACAAAGACCTTGAAACAATGCCCTTGATACGAAGACCTTGAAACAAAGCCCTTGAAACACAGCCTTTGAAACAAAGCCCTTGCAACACGGCCTCTAAAACAAGGCCCTCGGTTAGCTCACCAGTGCAGACGTCGCTCGTCTTGGTGTAGCCAGCCTTACACTGGCACCTCCCCTGCCCGTTCTTCACAACGCACGTTGAGTTCTTGTCGCACCTCAGTGTGCCCGTCTTGCAAGGGTTGTCAGCTGCCATGGGCAGAGGAGGGAAGCAGTTAGAGAAGCATCACCCAGCCAGTTAGAGGTATTTCTCTTTGATTGCATGCAAGAGAGGAGGGACACACAAGATAATTCTTGCACTCCGACTCCATGGGAAAACATGCTACAAACGACCTACCAGGTCTGCGAGTGTCATTTTTGCAGCTCTTCTCGACCTCTTTGAACTCGAAGCCCCAGGGGCACTTGCACCGGGTGGACACATAAGATAATTCATGACACTGGGCTATAGGGAAACTTGCAGTAGGTTGGTCTAACTCTTAGTGCTGGCAATCGCAACAAAAGACCTACCAAGTTCAACAATCTTCTTGCTGCAGTTCTTCTCAGCCTCTTTGAACTCGAAGCCCCAGGGGCACTCGCACCGGGGCTTGCCGTCCTTCACAACGCAGTCAGCAGCTCCACAGTCCTTGTGACACGTGGCTGTTGTGGGCACCACAGACAGAGGGACGAACAATAAGGCTATGTAATGATTTTTAGGCACACAGGTAAAAATCATTGGGAGCTGTCTCGCTCTCTCTTAACACAGTTGAACGTGCATGTGCATGTGCATGTGCATGTGCATGTGCATCTTCACCTAAGGTGAGGTGAGGATAGCCCATAAGGATTGCGTGCCTAAGATTCACAAACTTACTGATCTGACAGCCAACTGATCTCGGCAAATTCGTCGCTTTGACCGTCCTGAGGGAGGGAAGGGTATTCACGAAGAACATAGATGAGGACTCTGATGAGATGCTTTTTTCCACTAAAACAGCAAGTAGATTCAGGCTATAAAAATGCTTTATTCTGCCCTCTTGTGCTCGAACCACACCAGACAGAGCCACACATGACGCGGCATGCAACGCAATACACTCACACACCTTTCCGAGTTGCGGTAGGATTGACCATCCTTTGCAGGACGCGGGATTGTGAGGCCGGGCTTGTCCGTGCAGCCTGGTTTGGCGTGAAACGAAACGCTCTTGCACATGCCGTTGCCTTTTCCGGAAGATTGGAAGGAAGTCCACCCGACGCTGATCCTGGTGTCGCCACGGAGGCTGAAGCTGGAGCTCAGGTCGGTGCACACGATGGTGCCAGAGGCTTGCTCCGCCGGCACGTCGGTCGTGAAGTTGACGTTCTCCGCGTAGCTGCGCTGGCGGCCATTCATCTGCACCTGCAGCTGCAGCTGCACCATCGTCTGGAGGTAGGGGCCTGAGCAGCCATCGTGGCCGTTGATGATGGGGGTTTGGTGGCGACAGAGTGGAAGGGAGAGAGAGGCAGCGGGGAGTGGTAAGAAGAAAAGAGGAAGTCCGGGTTCTGGTGGAATAGCCCTCAGACAGCAACGCTGCCAGCTGAACTGTGTTTCTTTTTGCGAAATGCATCGGCTCCAATTCACGACTGCAGCACTCACCAGTGCAGCACTCACCAATTCAGCACTCACCAATGCAGCACTCACCATAGCACGTCTGGTCAAATTCGTTGAAGACCAAACCATGGAAGCACACGCATTCGGGAACACCATCAATCACTTGGCAGACACAACCACTGGTGCCGCAATCCCAGCCAGCACACAGGTCTGCAGATAAGAGCATGGGTAAAGTAGAGAAGAAAAAGGGAGTTCAAAGAGGGAGTTTAAATGGGGAGTTCAAAGAGGGGACTCTTATATATGTGCAGTCACTGGCACTCGCAGGCACTCACTGAGGGGACTAGAACTGTCGAGATGTGAATGATTATCCTTACCTTGGTATTGGTGACGCCGTTCTCCACACTCTCACACCCCAACACTCCGGCCCTCGCCCACATCCCAGAACCTACCACGATTGCATGTATTCTTGAGTTTGTTGAAAGTAAAACCGTCCTTGCATTTGCATACACCGGCACCGAAAGCATTCACAACGCACTTAGCACCGGTACCACACTTGTTGCCACACTCGTCTGCATGGAAAATAAAGGGTTGTTCCAAGGTAGAGTATGGAAAATGTGTTACTACTTACAAGAGCAGAGATCTTTCACTAATGACGTCACAACCACCCACACCAACACACCGCCCCCCGCCCACATCCCTGCACGTACCCACAACAACACCATCGCATGTATTGTCAACATCGTTGAAGGTAGAACCGTCCACGCACTCGCATTCACCAGTGCCATCAGCAGCCACAACGCAGTTAGCATCGGTTCCACACTTGTTGACACACTCGTCTGCACGGGAAAGCATGGGTTGTTCCAAGGTGAGTAGGGAAAATGGGTTACAAGAGACGTCACTCCCACCCTCTCTCTGGCTCTCGCCCAACATCCCAGCACTTACCCACAACACCATCGCATGTATAGTCAACATCATTGAAGGTGGAACCGTCCTTGCACTGGCACACACCGGCGCCAAAATCATTCACAACGCAGTCAGCATCGGTCCCACACTTGTTGACACACGCGTCTGCACGGGAAACCATGGGTAGTTCCAAGGTAGAGCCGGGAAAAGAAAAGGGACCCAGCGAGACTAAGAACCTTCCGAACGAAACTTCAGGCAGAGGCTAGAGCGGGAGAAAGAAGAGGTTAGGATTGAGAAGGGGTCAGAAGAAGTGGCTGACAAGCGGGAGGGTGCCACCCAAGCGGGTGAAATAAAAGAGCGTGGGATACAAGAGTGAGGCAGTTGGGTGCCATGCAACTGCCGGTCGTCTGGACCTTCAGCCGACTCACCATCCTGAGCGCTGGCGTGTGTCACGAGAAAGCTCATTGCAAGGCCCGCTAGGAAGGCGGCGAGGCCAAGTTGAAAGGCAGACCGGCGCTGCCCGCGGGGCTTCATGACGGCAGGAGAGCGCTGCCCGTAGGGCTTCATGGCGACAGGAGACGGCCCAGGAAAATAAAGAGACGGAATTCAGCGATAGCGGTGACGCAACGGCGATTTACTTCAGCGATTCTTGCGCCACGTTGCTGGTGGTGGCGAGGAAGTGAGGACGCGTCACAAGTAGAACATCGATCCTGCCTAGAATCGGTGTTTAGGTGGTTACACATTTTCGTTTATTTTCGTTAACGTACAGTTTTCCCTTCTAAGTCAGGCGATCGATGTGCCCCTGTCACACATCGATCGTGCAATTTCGTCCACATCGGGCAATTTTGCCCCATGTTTTTACGATCGTGTCACTTGAAACTTCAAAGCAGTCGTGACACACCGATATGGCGATCGGTTTGACAGGTTCGGTGAACAACCCTGATCCTTCCTCGATATTTTACTTGTGACGCGTCCTGAGAGAATTGGGTGGGACCTCGAAGGCCCGACTCAGAAGGAGAGGAAGGCACGGAATGAGCGAGCGGGCGCGCGAATGTGATTGGGGTCCCCGACGGTGTGTCGATTTATGTGTTGAGAGTGAGTGGTCAATCAAAGCAAAGTCTGACTTATTGTTCCTACAATAAGTCAGTCTGATCGCTGCGGACTCGTCGATAATTCAGCGCGCTTGTTGCGCCAAAGAGGGGACGCGCATGGAGGCAACAGGGGCACACAGCCGCCGCCGTCAGGTGGGGAGGTGGAGGGTGGGCGGGAGTGGGAGGAGAGGAGGGGGGCGGGGGCTGGGGAGAGGAGGGAAAGGGGGGGGGGGGGGGGGGGGGGGGGGGGGGGGGGGGGTGGGGAATCGCCGCTGCGCCGGCGCCTGGATCCTAAGACTGGAAACATGCATTTGCTCGTCATGGGACTAGGCGATCGTGTTGAATAATACGAGTTACTGGCAGTGGTAAGGGAGGTAGAGACTTCCGTCATGACGGCGGTCACAATGGGGGAGGAACGCGATATGTTTGACGAATTCATTATCCGCGTTGCAGGTTTGCGGTGGGAGTCGAAAACTGAACGCGATTGAAAGGAGTTTCAAACGAGGGGCGCGGCGATGACGGGAGGCGCCATGCGTGGGGCTGTCAAACACTTTAGGCTGGCAATTTTCATTGGACGAGGCGGGATTAAAACTCCGCGACGGGGCGCAAGGCGAATAGACTTCTGGCTGTAGTAGCAATCTCACGCACACTTCCGAGAACTGGGGACTTGCGCGATATGTTTGATGAATTCATTACTGTATCCGCATTGCAGGTTTGTGGTGGGAGTCAATCGAAAGCTGAACGCGATTGCCAGCGCCCTTGGCGAATGAGGGGGAGTGATGTAGGTACAAACGTTTTGATTTTCTGTGACAAGCTGACCGTAGCCAATCGGGGATAGGGTTGCGATTGAAAGCCAATCTCCATTGATGCCGAACTTTCGGCATCTAGGGCCGTCGCCACGCCAGCCGGAATTCGTCACTCATGGGCCAGTTTCCCGTTCCCGCTGAACACCCCAGCTGTGCGACTGAATGCTTTCACCCCAGCTGGAGCCCCAAGAACGGCGCGGAACATCTTCCTGCCACCCTCCGCGCATCTTCGGGAAAATTTATAATCAGTCGCAAATACTGGCTCGTTATCACGAATGGTCGCCCAGCTATTGCGAACGGTCACAGAACGTAGGAATCTATCACCGATGTTCACAAAATGTAGAATTCTATCACGGATAGTCACAACGTTGCCCCACGACTCTATCACGTATCGTCACACAATGAAACGCTTAAAGGAAAGTTGAAATTACACCATTAACTATAGAGATTCGAGGAAAGTTATCTCGCGCGTGAAAAAAAATGTTACCTCCGTAAACAATTTGCGACAACTTTCGCCAACTTGTTCACAACCAGAAGCAATTGTCTTATTCCCACAGCTTTTTTACATCCACAGTGAGTCGGGAATCAAAGCCTTTTAAACCGAGAAAAAAATGACATAGCCAGCTAAAAACAACATAATCAATATTTTTTTTTCATAATTAAAATCATCCGATTTTTTTTCGCACCTGTGGACTTTCAATATCAACCCTAAACACCTTATCGTATGATGTGCTGCGGTCAGAAATGTGATCGTGCCCTAGGATCTTCTCGGGAAGGTTCGCACAAAGTCGTGCAGTTGGTGGTGTGTCCTTGACCTCAATTCGGAGTGAATATAAAATGATTGAGATGATAAAGACATGCAAACATGGGCATATAAATAGCAGTACAAGGGAAAGATCAGCCGTTGGTTTGCAGGACTACTGAGCCAGTTGACTCGCAATGTAGGAAAGATCAGGCCTGCATGCTACTGAGGCGAAGAGCAGGCAACCTTGCTGCTGTTGGTAATTCTGAATTCCATCTGGGGATAGGGCTTTGTTGTCAGGTTTGTGGTTCGGTCCGGGAGTGCGGTAAGGGGTGGAGAGTGGTGCAGGCGCAGTGTTGAAGCGTTTACCAAGCTACTCGGCATACTTAGCCACAGAGAGGTGAATGGCTTCCGGCGCGTAGGAGATATTAAGTCCCAGGAACTGATTCACGTCGTGGTTGCAGGTAATGTCGAAGCGCTCCGCCAGGTTCTTTTCAAATTGTTCAAGCAGCTCGTTGCTCAACCCTGTGTAGAGCAAATTATCGACGTAGACGATTAGCAGAATGTAATCCCCGCGAAAGTCTCGGTGGTACATCCCAGGATCATGAGGCAGCTGCTTGAATCCTACCTCAAGCAGAATGTTGTACAGGGACTACTGCCAGAGCCTTGGCGCCTGTTTGATCCCGTACAGGGACTTCCGTAGCTGGCACACGCGCGAATCTCCTTCGCCATATGTGTGCGGCTGCTCCACGTAGAGTATTGCATCCACCAGTGCGTAAAGAAACGTGTTCTTTACGTCGATTTGGCACAGCGGTAGTTGTCTTGCGGCAGCGATGGCGAGCAAAATTCTGACAGAGGTGTGACGGCTGACCGGCGCAAATGTTTGGTCGAAGTCAATGTCGTGCCTCTGATCATAGCCGCGAACTACCCAGCGCGCCTTAAATCGCTCGATCGTGCCGTTCGCTGCGGTCTTCACGCTGAAGACCCATTTGCCGGGGAGAATCCATCTTCCTTTGATTGCAGCGCGATCGACGCGCGCGCGGCTTGCGAATTTCCCGATGGTTGACGTCGACGGACGATACTGCACCATGCACCCCCACACGCGGAGCATGGATGTGTCCCCTTTCGTTCCCGTCCACTTCAGGTGCGGGGAAAAGTTGCTGGTGATGGCGGTGGTTGATAGCAAGTTGTGCACCCGTATGGAGTGGTGCATCGCGTAGGTCCAATATATCGGCGGAAGCTTTGATTGCTTCATCAGCGCCCGCACCTTCGTCATGAGCGTGCGGTTCGTCCGCTCAGCTACGCCTTGCTGCTGGTGCGTGTACGGAAGGGAAATGTGATGCTCGATTCCCTTCTGCGCCAGGTAGTCTTGCAGCTCCTTGCTCCAGAATTCCGCTGCGCCGTCCGATTGCCAAATTTTCAGCTTCTCCCCAGATTGCCGCTGCGCGTGCGCCAGCCAGAGGCGGAACACTTCGTATGCTCTGCTGCGCGCTTCTACGTTTACGACCCAGACATAGTGCGTCCATGCGTCAACGAAGGTGAGTGTGTACAGCTCATCATTGATTCCGCAATGACCCACTTTCAGAAAGTCGCTGTACACCTTGTGCAGCTTGGGGTAGCGGTTGGTTCCCGGTTCGAGCAGCAGGAACGGCTGGTTACTCAGCGCAGCCTCGAGGCAGATGGTGCAGTAGCGCGGCTGTGACGTGCTTCTCACTTCGGTGCCGTCAGGGCGCAAGAGAGCGCCAGGTGCGAATACACCTGCGTCGACGCAGTTCTTCAGCGTTGCGTACGAGGGGTGACCGAGGCGTTGGTGCCAAAGGTCGTCATTTGCACGGAATCCGGAGGTTCGCATGTAGCGCGCACGCACTGTCTCGGGATCTTCTTCTAGTGCTAGGGCAGGTCCTGCTGCTGCTTCTTCAGCTGCTTCTTCGTCGCTCGCCGTCAGCATTAGCGCCAAAAATTCTCTGTCAAGAATGACGGAGAGAGGAATGTTGGTGTCGAGGATCGTGCTAGGGACGAAGGTAGGTTCCCGCGGCTCAGGAGCAGGTCCGTAAGCTGTGCGGCGCGGGGTCGACGGCTCGTTGCCCCAGTCGATGGTGTCCCAGGGGTCGCGATGCGGCTGGACGTCAGGTGGCAGCGAAGGTGCGGGAAGGCGAGGGGGACGGCCGAGGGGAACAACGCGCGGTTCGACTTCTACAGTCTCTTCGTCCCCCCTTTGTTCTCCTCGCCAGGCACTCCACCCTTCACCGGAAGTACGTCCCATCCGCTGGAGTCGCCGCCAGTTGCGGCGCCCCAGCCGACAGTGTCGCTCGTTCCCCATCCGCCAGCGCTTCCCCACCCCCCTTTTTTGGAGGCGTTTCCCTCCTCCATTCCCCAGGCAGCACAGGCGAAAGTCCCACGTGCTTCAGCGAGGCTCTACTGGTTGAGTTCTTCGGCTTCGCGGTGCGCCGGCTCTTCTTCTTGTTCCACGGTAAAGCTTCGTCGTGGGGTCGCGCCAGTGAGGGTACAGCTTCATGAACTCTTCTTTTGTGTAGGGACGCGCCACACCGCGCGCGTCGAAGGTTCCGCGGTGTTGGCCGCGTAAGATGTTTTCGAGCCGCTGGGAGGGGCGACTTGCGAGTGGACTCTAGTTGGTGCGAAAGACGTGGTGAGAAGCCACATCCAGCTCCAATGCTGACATGCCTTCTTCAGGCGGCGCGGCTTGTTCAGCTTCGGCGATGGCGACGAGACCACAGCCGGCGATGGCGCTCGTTGAGGCGGTGGGCGTGTGACAATCCCTGCAGATGCCGTCTGGGTCAGGGTCGTGCAGCGCCAACTCGCGTGGGTGAGGGTGATGTGGCACCCATGGTCGTCCGTCAGGATGCTTCCAGTCCGAGCGATGAATGTGTTTGAAGCGCAGTGGAACGAGATCAATCAGCTCGTTCGAGT